GAATGAAATGAATGATAACTTGTTTATTTATTAAAAATATGGCCTGTTTTTAATGCAATGAACCCTTAAAATTATTATTTTAAGCTCATTTGTATGATTATTACTGTTATTATTATTAATAATAATAATTGTACATGCGGCTGCCACACACAAATCTAATTTAATTGCAATTACAATATTTTATAATTTTATTTATTATTATTTATTGCAAAACTGTACAGCCCTTTTCTATGTCTCTTGATCCACAATAGAAGGATGATTGGATGAGGGATGGATGTGGATAACTGTCTATGGATGAGGGATGGATGTATGGATAACTGTCTATACAGATGCACAAACAATATCAAACTATTCAAATAAAATTGTACTGAATTATATGTGTTACACACAAGTGTTACAACCAACCCCTCTGTCTGTTACAATTAACCCCGCATATGGGGTAAGTTGTAACATTTGCACTTCTGTCACTTTCAGTCCAACTGTACGAAAATTGTAGGTCCTAGAAAAAAACTTTAAGTGTTCATTTGTAGCAGAGATGTGTATGTTGCTTGTGTAAAAAAATATTAATATAACCTAATTATTTTTTAATTAACTGAGCCAAAACCAAAATGTGTTAGGTTGTGCCCTGCTCTCCCCTACACCTCTTCCTGATACTCCCTCAAAAAGCCCAAATCCTAAGAAAGTCTGTAACGTTCCCAAAGAAGAGGAAACAGTTTCAAATGCTGACATCCTAAAAGCAATTAATGGCTTAAACGATCGTTTTTTAAAGTTTAAAGTCCACAGGCTGATGGAAAGAAAACGAAATGGCAGGGGTCTGCTGTCATCATTAACGGCGTGAGACACACTGCATAACTTGTTAAAACTTCCGTTAATGTGAGGTACAATTTTCAAATTAACGATGCCATGTGAACCTCTGCTCTTCTGGTAGACTTGAAAAGAGCAATATCTTCACTCCAATAAGAATGTTTAGGAGTTTATATTGAGGTACTCATGTTCAGAGTTTCCTTATGCGGTAAGCTAATCTTTCTTATTTTCTATCTCAGGTGATTTTTTTTTTGTTCTTTCTTTCTTAACTAGTTCCTATAATTTTAAGTCATCCAGTTCTTTCTTTTTGCATTATGACAGACTTCCGTTTTAGTTCCTTAAAAATAATTTCTTTGAATGTTAGAGGTATTCGCGATAGCAGCAAGATAAAATCAATCTTTTTATTTAGTAGACGAAACAATGCTGATTTAATTTTTCTACAAGAGACTCATTCGGTTGATGAGGATGTGAAGTTTTGGAAAGCACAGTGGGGTGATGCATGTTATTTCTGTCATGCCTCTCAACAATCTGCAGGTGTCGCCATTCTATTTAATAAATTTAAAGGAGATATCATTGAATCACTGATGGATAATCTTGGTTTTCAAATTAGACGATTCCTTCTTTATAGTTTGTAATGTATATAACCATAACAATACTGCTCAAGCAAAAATAATGTTTTTACAACTTTGTTTGAAACTTGAAGCCTTTAAAAACAAATATAAGGATGCACACTTGATTATTGGAGGTGATTAGAATGATGCTCCAGATGACCTTGTAGATAGAATGCCGGTAAGAGTAACTCCACATTCGAGATTCAAAAGCACTGCATACATTTGTGAACAACTAGCAATTATAGATGTTTGGCGTTTTCTAAACCCTTATATTAACGAATTTACCTGGAGCAATGTTAGTAGATCCTTTCAGTCTAGAATTGATTTATGGCTTAAATCTCCCTCATGTTTGCAATTTGTGACCGAATCATTGCACAGCTATGCTCCATTTTCTGATCATAAATTAATTTCAATTCATTTAGCAGGAACAAAACAACAAAGTGGTAGTAAACGGGGTTATTGGAAATGTAATAATACTTTATTAAAAGATGAGGAGTTTTGTGATTTGGTAAAAAAAACAAACAGCAAAAAGCATACTTGATAATAACGAAATGAAACCTACACAAAAATGGGAATTTTTCAAGTTTAAAATTAGAGAAATAGCAATTAGACGAAGTAAAGCAATTAAAAAAGAGAGTATAGCAAAAGAAATAAGTATTATGGATAATTTAAATATTTGGATGAATAAAAAGATTCTCTCAGAGGAAGAAGAAGCTATAATGAAAAGATTAAAAGAGGAAATAGATAATATGTATATTGAAATGGCTAAAGGGGCATTTGTAAGGTCTCGAGCAAAATGGCTGGAACAAGGGGAAAATAATTCAAGTTATTTCTTTGCTTTAGAGAAACGAAACCGCAAGAGAAATAATTTAACCACTCTTAAAATTGACAATATCATCACCTCTGACTCTTTAGACATTTCAAGATATGTGGGTACATTTTATAGTAATATATATAAGTCTAATATTCAATTTGATGAGTGTGATAAATTTGTTGAAAGTTAAAGAATTTACACCTAATATATCTGAACAATTTTAATTGGATTGCGAACGTCCCATTACTAAAGTGGAAATCTCAGAGGCTGTCAGTTCAATGAAAAAAGGTAAATCGCCGGGTAATGATGGGCTTTCAGTCGAATTTTATTTGCATTTTTGGGAAATTTTTGAAAATCCTCTATTTGATTTATTTAATGAATGCATCTTAAAAGAGGAATTGTCTACGAGTATGAAGCAAGGTTTAATATGTCTTCTCCCTAAGCCTGATAAAGATCATTTAATGATAGAAAATTGGAGACCTATTACACTATTAAATATTGACTACGAAATTCTATCGTTAATTTTTGCCAAACGGTTAAAAAGAGGTCTTCATGAGATAATAAGTGAAACCCAAACAGGTTTTATGTCTAATCGTCACATTAGCTCCAATATAAGACTTGTTCTCGACCTACTGGATTATTCCGATAAAATTAACTCTGATGCAATGATAGTATTTCTAGATTTTTATAAAGCTTTTGATACTGTAGAACATTATTTTTTATTTAAAGCACTTCAGATTTTTGATTTCGGACAGAATCTATAGTTAAAATGCTTTATAAAAATATTGATAGCTCTGTCATATTATATCCAAACACCACAAACAGATTTCCAGTACTGAGAACATTTCGCCAGGGCTGCCCTATTTCACCGTTTTTGTTCCTGCTGGTGGTTGAATTATTGTCACTACATATAGTCCTATTATTAAAGGATTGTCTATTTTCGGTAAGGAAATCAGAGTAACTCAATTAGCGGATGATACAGCTTTATTTTTGAGTGACAAACATCAAATTAATAATGCGATAACTTTAATTGACCAATTCTCTGCTGCTTCAGGCTTAAAGCTTAACAAGTCTAAATGTGAAATCTTGTGTTTGTATCAGACTGATGAGGAAATTTTTTTTTAACTTACCTGTTAGGAAATGTGTAAAATATTTAGGTATTCATATCTGCAGGGATCATAAGGAACGCCAACAACTAAATTTCTCACCTAAATTGAAAAAAACTAAAACAATTCTAAATTTATGGCTTCAACGAGATATTTCAATTTTAGGAAGGATTCTTTTGACTAAAGCAGAAGGGATCTCAAGATTTGTCTACCCTGCTCTTTCTCTTCATGTTCATGATTCAATATGTAAAGATATAAATACCATATTTACTAATTTTGTGTGGAAAAACAGACACCATCATTTAAAAAAGCGGTGCTCTCTGGCTCTAAGGATGAAGGTGGATTTGAACTTTTAGATTTTTGTGACTTAAATTACACCTTTAAGGTAAAATGGTTAAAGGAATGTTTAAGAGCACCTGATTCCTTATGGTATTTTATCCCCAATGATATGTTTAATAGTGTAGGAGGCCTAAAATGTTTATTGAAATGTGACTATAATATTACAAGATTGCCGCTCAAACTATCCCAATATTATCAACAAGCTCTTTTGGCCTGGAAGCTGTGTCACTCTCACAACGTCTCTCCACACAAGGCCATCATTTGGAATAATGAATGCATCATTAGAAGGAACAAGTCACTCTATTTGCAGAAATGGGTCGATAGAGATATCATTTTTTAAAAGACCTTTTTGATGGTAATAATCAATTACTTAACTATGATTCTTTTCTCAGAGAGAAGGCATTTCCAATAACGTTCAAAGAATATAATTTAGTTTTCAAGTCCATACCTAATGGTATATTAGAACTAATGAAAAGCTATAATAAACAAAATGATATTCCTGGTGTTAATTTGACTCTTTATATAAGTGGTATGGATATTATGAGTAGCAATTGTACTAATAAACATTAGAAATTGTTTTTTGAATGCAAAGAAAATAACACCTCGTGGGAAATTTTTTTGGAATTCTCTTTTTTATGAGATTAATTGACATAGAGCGTGGCCTGTTCCTTTTAGATTTTGTATCTCAAACAAAGTTAGGGAATTACATCTGAAAATATTACACAATATATATCCAACAAACTTGCTTATTTCTAAATTTAAACCTGTCGAAAATATTTGTAGTTTTTGTATGACAGAAGAAGAATCGTTACCTCATCTCTTTTATGGTTGTTCATTCTGCATTACATTTTGGAAAATGTTAAGTAACATGTCTTTAAAAATAAAGAAAACAATAACAATTGAAGGGAAACAGATTATTACATATTTTGATTGTAGAGATAGTAGTTTGTGTAATATTGTAAACCTTTTTATTTTACTCGGCAAATTCCATATTCGCAAAGCGAAATTCTCTAAAGCAAAGCCATGTTTTAATTTTTTTCAAATGGAAACTGACATATATTTTGAGTCTCTGATAAGGGTTAAAAATAAGAAAGCGATATCAGCAACTGAATTATACTCTAAAATATTTAAGTGAAAATCTAGGAATATATTTCTCTTGTTATAGTTAGTTTGTAAGTCTGTCTATTTAAGCTATGTATTTTTATTTATTTTTTATTTTTATTTTTTATTTATTTTTTCAATTAATTTTATTTATTTATAAAATTATCAATTATTTTCAATTATCAATTATTATCAATTTATTTATTTATTTTTATTTTTTTGCTGTATAATTTCTGTTTACGAACTGTGATGATTGTATATTTGTAATCTGCATTCTAATAAAACAAATTAAAAAAAGAGCAGGAGCCAGGACACAGTAATGATGAGTTGCATCATGAAACTCTGTGAGGCTTCAAATGACAAAAAATAATAAAAAATGATAATTAACCATGATTCTTATGACATACAAAGGTAATGGAAACATATAATTTGAATTGTTTAGTGCTAAGTATGAAATGAATGAATAAATGAATTAAGGAAATAATGTAAAAGAATAATAAAGCCCAGTAATGAATGGAAAACCAACTCAAGTGCATATCTGCTACCTGGAAGCCAGGTTTTTGGGCAAGCACTGTTACTGTTACCATTGACAAAAGGTCACCAAGATAAAATTCACAGGCTGCTTTTAGGGTACTCAGATGGATCAATACTCTTGAATAACATTTTATTCACAGCAGGCTGCATTGGCTTGTGTTCAGTTCTTGAGTCTTCACACACTGTCAGGAGAGATTGAAAGGTTGAATTAATTACACATTAAACACAGCTGTGGGGTTAAAAAAATGTACCTGCTGATTACTTCCAACAAATTAATTCCTTCAGATACAGATGTAAAGGGGCAGCTATTATACAAAATACACTTTTACACTGTGTTGGATATAAATGTTTGTTGGCAGTGAGTGAACACAATCACCCAACAATTATAAAAATTGCCCACCTCTGACGGTCACAATGGTTGCATCACGTGTTTGAAGAATATTATATTTATGTGAATATAAAAATAAATATATATTTCTATTTTCAGCACACTGAGGCTGCTTTTGTGGATAGTTTGTGTTCTCATTGCGAGAACATGACTATCGCGGTGTTGAGATCAAGACTCGCCTTCATGCATGAAGGTGGAGTCCATTACCACATCCCGTTACAGCGCTGTGATGGGTGATCAGAGGATCGTGAGGCTTCCCCGCCCGATAACCAATCCCTTTGGGCTCCGCACTCCTTTATCATACTGAAGCCGGTGGAGCCCCTGTTGAGCATGCTGTTCTCTCTGTAATGGACTGTCCAGCTGTTTCATTCGGGGCCCCTCCAGAGGACAGGATGCCGATTGCAGCATTAGAGGGTGAGCTGACCTCTGGAAATTATGACTTGGCTGCGTCATCTCCCCCTGGGAGTGTAATGCTGCCTGAGCCTGATCCAGAAATCCAAGGCGCCAAGGTTGTCAGGCTTGAGTGGAATCCTCCACCGTGTTCTGAACAGTCTCGGTTGGATGATTGTCACGTTTATTTATTTGTATAGGATGATTGGTATCTCGGAGCGGGCCGTGCTGGTTCTTAGTTCACCGCCCAAGTGCCTTTCTTTCTCAAAGTGCATGGAGAACTTAACAGGTCGTAGACGGCACCTTTCTCTACCAGAAATGGCCTGAGTAGCTCCTCCTCTCTCACTATCCTTGACAGAAGAACAGTGTAGGTTACGAGGCTATCCCTCCAATGGAGCGGTCTGTCGTGACACAGGTGTACCTGTGTCCAGTGGCCGCTTCCTTTTGGACAAAGGATCCTCATCCGATGGGCAGAGCTTAAAAAGCCTGTGGGTTAGCCACCTACTCTTTGCATGCCATGACGTTGTTAAAGGTCTATCAGGCCAGTGCACTCATGGACATGCACAAGGGTAGCCCAGACCGTGCGCTCATAGTTGAGCACCACACTGCAGCCGACCTCACCCTCCAGTGCACGAGCATTGTAGCATGCACGATCGGTCTGGTGATGTCCACTTTAGTGGTACAGGGGTGCCATCGTTGGCTCAGCCTGGTTGATATGCCAGATACGGACAAGGTTCCTGGACTCCACAGTTACCCAGGTCGGGCTGTTTGGCGACGCGGTGGAGAAATGTGCCCAACAAATCTCTGCTGCCTAAGCGCAGACGGAGGCCATCCGTCACATCTTGCCCCGACGGCTCACTGCTGCCTCTGCCTGCTCATCGCTGAGGGCATCCCCCTGCCTCAGCTCCTGCTCCTGTTGGGCCTCCGCAGCAGCCTCCACCCAGGCATCAGCGTGGAGCCAGCCGCAGCCTTGTGCTTGTCACCTGGATTGGCAACGTCTGACACAGGCCACCCAGGGATGGGTGAACGAGATCTTCAGATGGTTTCTGTTCCACCGCTGGCTCCCCCCAGTCCAGCGGTACCCGACTCAAAAGAAAGAGCAAATTCCTCTGTTCCTGGGTCCCAAGAGGGCCAGACTGGAAGTGTGCGACCCTGTAAAAGCCTTGCACCCCTCAGCCCCCTCTTTTGTCGCCAGCCAGCACCTGGATGCGTTCGAGGACCCGGCCATCTGCCTTCCAGTGGAGTCAGGTAAGTGTTGCACTGCACACTCAGACCTTGCTTCGGGCTGCCCTCTGGCCTCTCTTGCTAGGTCCCTGTCCTCCACCTAGCTGCCCCACCTCGGGCACGTCTGTGGTTCCCTGGCCCACTTCAAGGAAGCCTAAAAAGTGTCCCAACCACAATGTACACATTGTTACAGCTGATGCTTCAAGTCTTATTGCCTGTATCCAATTTTGTCTCCTTAAAGGCTGGCTTTTACGGTTCGGTAGCTTATAAAAACGTAGTTCTGTTTTTTTATAGCTTGTTTGCTGCATAACCTGTCACAAAGCAGCTTTTAGACATTGTTTTGTTTTTTGTTAAAAGTCATAAATAACAAGAAGGCAGCTTCACGCAATACAAAGTCAATGGAGAGGTTGGATTGCATTACTTCAGTGTGGGTGTGGCATAAATGCGCTCTCTGTCTCTGAGCTCTTGAAGCTCCACCCTCTTCTTGAAAGGAGGCAGAGAACACCAGCTCATTTGCATTTAAAGGGACATACAAAAACAACATGTTTTTGCTCACCCTCAAAAAGTGGTAATTTTAACATGCTAAAAAATATATCTGTGGGGTATTTAAGCTAAAACTTCACATACACACTCTGGGGACATCAGAGACTTATTCTGACTTATCTTGTGAAAAGTAGGATAATAGATTCACTTTAACATTGTACTGGTTTTGTATTGTAACAGTACTGGTTTGCAAGTCATGGTGACTGTACTGATCACCATTATAAGACTATTGTGCAAGCAATCAAAATGTTGTCACCTGAAATGACTTGCTTGAGACAGTTGGATATAGCATGCAAATGTCAATTTTAGAACTGTATAATCTATTGAAAGTAGAGATGTCTCATCCATAACACATTTGAGAAAATACAGCCATTCAACCAATATGAACAAAATATGACCGCTGGATCCAGGCCATATCCGGATCTGAGGAAGGATCATCACATGGACATGACGACAACGCATCCCCGCAGTGCCAGCCTCATCAACAGTGTGAAGGCCTCATGGGCAAATCCATCTCCATACCAGTGTGATGACTCTGACCCTAGCCAGATGAACTGGATGAATATTGTTAAAGTCCTGATCCCATCTGACTTCTGACCTATAATGCTGCCTAAATCATAATCATTTTGCTCGTTGGCCAAAGGAGGACTGGCCCCCTGACTGTGCCTGGGTTCTCCCAAGGTTTATTCTCCATTCTGTCACTGATGGAGGTTTGGTTCCTTGCCACTGTCGCCTTTTTTGCCATTGGTAAAACTGCATTTATATAGCGCTTTCAACAGACCCATGGCCACCAAAGCACTTTACATCTTGCCTCGCATTCACCCATTCACTCACTCATTCATACACTGACGGCGGTGTCAGCCATGCAAGGCGCCATCCAGCTCGTCAGGAGTAGCTGGGGTTAGGTTCTTGACACTTGGTCAGGTGGAACCAAGGATAGAACCACCAAACTTCCGTTTTGTAGACAACCTACATGAACCAGTGCCGCCCCTGGCTTGCTAAGTTGGGGATATTTAATTTTGAATTTAAGAATACTATTACAACATTATTTTCCTGTTATCTCTGTAAAGCTGCTTTGAAACGATTTGTATTGTAAAAAGCTATATAAATAAAGCTGACTTGACTTGACTTTTTAGTTTCCCTCAGTTCTGTTACTGTCTATTTTATTTGTTATATAACAGAAGTTAAGAAAGAATAGGGACTCGAGACTCCCCTCAAATGTTACATGTAAAAGTGGAAAAAATAAGTAACAACTCACTCAAGATTCTCCAGTTTACAGTTTGGATCGTCCTTTAGATAAGAGAGCATTTTCAGTGCTCCTGGAGAATTCCATTTCAGATTGAGATCTCTCAGATGTAAGGGGTTTCTCAGAGCTGAAATAAGAGCAGCACAACCTTCCTCTCCTATATTGCAGTTACACAGACTGTAAAGAGAAGGAAAAGAAACTCTTCACACTTACAGCTCAAACTTCAGACATTTAACAGGCGCCCCACCTATGATCGAAATTCACCCAAAAAAGTCTCGTTCGTTTGTGCTGGATTGCGCCGGTAAAATTTTACCGTGGTGGCGTCGGGTTTTAAAATATTAGACATGAAATCAAGTAGAAATGTTAGAAATGTCAATAGGCCTATTTAAGCTGAGTTTTAAAGTTTTTAAAGGTCAACATTTTTTTGTTATGATCATAAGGTTCGATATGATTAAATTTCAAAAGTTAAATCATTTTGACTTAATTCATTGTCATGAGTTTCCACATACATAATAATAATAGTTATTAAACGAATTAGGCCTATATATAGCCTACACATACAACACACACAGTACCAGTCAAAAGTTTGAAAATATTTGAATAGTCCCTTCTGCTCACCAAGGCTGTATTTATTTGATCCACTTATTTCAAAATACAATTATTTCACTGCTGTTTTCTGTGAATGTATTGTGAAGTGTAATTTATTCTTGTGATCAAAGCTGAATGTTCAGCATCATTACTCCAGTCTTCAGTGTCACATGATCCTTCAGAAATCCGGATAATATGCTGATGTTATTAATTTGATGCTCAAGAAACATTTCTGATCATTATCAATGTTGAAAACAGTTGTGCTGCTTAATATTGTTCTTTTTTCTTCTGGAAACCAAGATACAACCATTAAACGTTTTTTGATTAAGTAATATAAAAGAATAATAAAAGAAAGTTGATTGATTGAAAAGAATACTACTTTTATTTAGCAAGGATGCATTCAATTAATCAGAAATTATTATTATTTTTTTATGGTTTCCACAAAAATATTAAGCATCTAAAACCCACGCAATGGGTAGGCTATTCAACATTGATAAAAATAAAAAACCTTTCTTAACTGAGCACCAATAATAATTGATCAATCAACATTTTACTATGATTTCTGAAGAATAATGTGGCATTAAAAACTGGAGTAATGACAGTAATTTCAGCTTTGACATCACAGGAATAAATTGCTATGTTTAATTAAAACAGAAAATCGTTATTTTAAAGTGTAATCATATTTTACATTATCAGTGTATGTTTGATCAATAACAACAACAAAAATCAGCCTTGGTGAGCTTAAGAGACCTTTAAAAAAATATCCAAACATTTTTGACCTACAGTATACTGTAGCCTATAATAGATCTATAGCCTACACACACGCTGCCCTACAAAGGCAAAGTGCAGTAAATACGCAAACAAAGAAACGGAGAAAAAAGCCTTTAAAGTTTTTGTACCAGCCAGTCAAACATGTTATGGGGGTAGTGCATCTCCGAAACGGGACATAATTTAACCCCGATATTTTTTCACAAGACAGAACACATGTCATAAAGCCCTTTACAAGTCTTAACTCATTTTTGACTAAATGTGTTCACTGCGCTTTGCCTTTGTAGGGCACAGCAAAACAGATTATGGTGCATGTATTTTTGACAATATTATTATAGGCTATTAACAAAACATCATAATGTTTACAAAACACTTAGGCTACCTTGGAGTTTGTTACATTCCACACATCCAATGATCCTTAGTGTCCGTTAAGAGTTGAATAGGCTACACACAGGATAGGTAACAGAATATTGTGATTTGGTTTGCCGTTTCGGTCTTCCTTTAACTGTTGTCTTACTGTGTTGCTGTCTATAATTCTCTCTCATTCAGTCTAATATTTTAAAACCCGACGCCACGGTAAAATTTTAGCACAAGCACACAGTAAAATTTTAGCACAATCCAGCACAAACGAACGAGACTATTTTGGGTGAATTTGGATCATGTGGGGGGCTGGTGACGTCATCAATAATAATGTAATGTCTAATATTTTAAAACCCGACGCAGCACAAATTAATCTTTTACCGGCACAATCCAGCACAAACGAAGCACAAACGAACGAGGCTATTTTGAGTGAATTTCGATCATGTGAGGGGCTGAGTGACCTAATATATTTTAATATCTAAAAAACCGAAGCAGCTGAAACGAAACGTTTTACAGCACAAACCAGCACAAACGGAGCACAAACGAACGAGACTATTTTGGATAAATTCGAAGCATGTGGGGGGCTGAGTGACGTCATCGACCTAACCTTCAATGATTAATATTTAAAAATCCAAAGCAGCTCAAACGAAACTTTTTACAGCACAAACCAGCACAAACGGAGCACAAACGAACGAGACTATTTTGGATAAATTCGAAGCATGTGGGGGGCTGAGTGACGTCATCGACCTAACCTTCAATGATTAATATTTAAAAATCCAAAGCAGCTCAAACGAAACTTTTTACAGCACAAAACAGCACAAACGGAGCACAAACGAACGAGACTATTTTGGATTAATTTGGAGCATGCGGGGGCTGATGACGTCATCGCCTATAATTCAAAGTCTGTTATTTTAAAACCCGACGCAGCACAAACGAAAATTTTACCGGCACAATCCAGCACAAACGAAGCACAAACGAACAAGACTATTTTTGGGTGAATTTTGATCATGTGGGGGGGCTGAGTGACCTCAGAATGACCTAAAAATATTATTTTAATATCTAAAAAACCGAAGCAGCACAAACGAAACTTTTTACAGCACAAACCAGCACAAACGGAGCACAAACGATTGAGCATATTTTGATGACGTTTTGCGTTGGGTGGGGGGGCAACTTCACGGAGGTGCAAAAAGGGCATGACTCATCTGTCATCTGATATGTCTGGTAAGTGATATGTGTATTGTGACAGTGATCGCACCCTCTCCTCCATGTCCTGATTATATTGTCTACTATATTTGATTCTTTGCAGACAATTGGTTGATAAAACATTGATTAAAATTAAGATACAATTTATGTAAAATGAAATTCACTTTAAAGAAAGGCTTTCTACAAAACAAAACTCCTGATATATTACAGCATCTTCCAACACATTCTGCCTTGATAAAACACACATATTGTTTGTGGGAGATGCGAAATAGATTAAAATAAAAAAATAATTAAAATTAAAGAGGACTTATATATATATATATATATATATATAATTTATTTTTTTGCAGATCAATGATTGGCCAAACAGAATTGTCACTACCAGCGTCATTGTATTTGCAAGACATCACACCCGCTAGAATTAAATAGCCAGTAACAGTCACCACTGTGGCACCTGTTTTAAAAACTAATTGCTTAAAGAAAATAAAAACTTCCAAAACATGAATCATGTTCAGTCGAAGAAGTGCAGATATTCATCTCGTTGGTTGCCAAGGAGCAGATAAACTATTAACGATCAGTCCCACCCATTTTGAAGCGGTACTAACTGCAGTGGAAAAGCAAAGCGAGGTAAAGCGAACCGAGCCATACCGAGTCGTATCACGCAGAAGTGCAACACTCTTTTTTACGGTGTTGCACATTCATTTTTTCAGAGTTTCAAATTTGTCCGTGTTCCCCCACTGTATTTAGTTTGTTTTCCAGATTTGAAACCTTGTAAATGTTGATCTGAAAACTGGTGTGTGAATAGGTGAAAAAAGTTTTGAAACTCTGAAAACTGAGGGTAGACAGGGCGGAACTTATTACATTACATTACATTTGCACTCATTTGCAGACTATTTTTTTCAGAGCAAAGTTTACAACACCCACTTCGCGGAGATACGTCCTCACAGTTGCGAGCTTGCGACTCACGTGATTTGTGGCAGCGTTGTCACGCAACTCTGCTCTGAAACTCTGAAACGCAGACTGAGCGCAAATGAAGCATCTCGAAACTTAAAAAAAGCCTGGAGGGAGGGCCTTCTGTTCTTGGCCAATGCTTCGCTGTCTGCTGACGTACAGTCCAATCACAAGTCGTTTTTTACCGGAAACATCAGACATGGGATTAGGCTTGTTTGAGATGTGCCTCGCCAGCAATGTAGTCGAGAGTAGGCGGCTGCAGTGAGGGGAGGAGTGAAAAAAAGCGCATTCAAGCCACACAGATCTCGGTTCTCGCAGTGAATCAGACACCTGTGAAATCAAAGGCGGATATCTCGGGATTAACGGGATTCACGCTTGTGCACGTGTTGCTAATAAACTGGATGTGATTCAAGTTCTGTTGCTTTTATATAAAAATAAATATAATGAACAAGACACCCAAAGTACTTGTTATTTAATTACATTCCAAATATGTGTTTATCAATCATTTTTTTCTTTAATACAGACGTGTTTTTATATAGCCTAGGCTAGCCTATTGTTTTAACAAAAATGAAATATAACCCATATGGCACTGTCAGAGAGTTTATTCACCCATATGTACACATAAAACATGATATCAGTTTTAAAATCAAACATTTTAAAAGAGAACAAATCATCTGTTGTTCTTTTATTTTTATTTTTATTTATTTTACTTTTTTATTAGAATGCTAGTTACAAACATAGCCTACATACAAGCACCACAATTCGTGAAACAAATAGGCCTATTATACAGTGACAAATAAATAAACATCAGAATAAAATTAATAATAATAAAATAAATAAATAAATCAAAATAAGCTTAGCTTAAATAGACAGACTTACAAACTTCATCATCTATAAAATGAGAGATATTTTCCTAATTTTCACTTGAACATTTTAGAGTAGGCCTAGAATATTTGAGTTACTGACACTTTCTTATTTTTCTTATAAAATTTTATAAGAAAAATATAAAATTATTTTTCTAATATTATTTTTATAATAATTATTAAAATTATTATTTTTCTTTTTTCTTATCAGGCTATAGTGGAGCCACTCCAGCGCTCCCATCTGATTATGCATGGGCTCCCAACATAACCCTACGCAGCCCTCAGGTAGCATTAGACCAGGCTTCCGCTGATGTCCTTATTGAGCGGTCTCCTCAACAGACGCTGATCCCAGCCCCCCACATCAGCAGGCATGCTGACACCCGTTCTCCAGTCCCTCCTCCGCCTGCATCTGTTAGCCAGTCTGCCCACCCGCACATGACACAA